TTGTGTAATAATAATAATAATAATAATAATAATAATAATAATAATAATAATAATAATAATAATAATAATAATAATAATAATAATAATAATAGATCACTTTGGTAATTTCAGAAAAAGTACATCACATACTGAACAAAGAACAAACATACCATGATTCTTTCATGTGAGGTATCATCTTTCTGAATAAAACCGTCTACTGGCATTATTAAATAAAATCATAATATAATTGCTCCTGTATTTTCCATGAGGGTCACTGCTATTATTTTTAATATGATTTATAGTTTTATCATAAAAAGTAAAATAGAAAACAGGCAAACAAAACAAAACAAAAGCATACATTAAACGCTAGCAACAACATAAAAGAAAAAATAGTGTGTCATTATATATACTGTATGTATGTATGTATGTACATATGTATGTATATGTTAAATGTTACATTTATTTGATCACTTTTTCTTCTTTTTTTTAACCACTTCTATTTTTAACCATTACATAAAGAATGAAGCAACTAGTTTCATATTTAATAGAGAACTAGTTCAGAAATTTTTTAATACATGTGCTAGAATGGGAAATTGATAGGCAGGAATGTCTCATCCAATACAGTATTTCTTACTAAAATGAAAGATTAGAAATTATTAAAAGTGATAACAATGAATCTCAGTTTTCTTTTAGATAAGGAAAAGAAATCAAGGAAGTAAAATCAGCTTTGTACAAACCACAAAGAAAAGTGCATTAGCTATTATAAACAGATAAGTGCTCCTGTTTCTCTTGTCAAGTGATCAGGTTTTCAGTAATTGCAGTCAGAGCTCTCCAAAGTATAGAAATAGGTATTTTGCTTAAGGTAAGACTGTCATACGTACAACCATATAAAAGAATTTCCTTATATGAAGTTTTCCTTTCCTATTTTTAATACCATTGTCAAATTGAGAGACTATTTCTTAGGACAATTTTATCTATAAGTGGTGCAAAAAATCTTTGGCTGTCTTTGATAAATATTCCAAACTGGAAGATATGGAGAGGGAGGGGGGAAATCTAAAAAAAAAAAAAATCTGAGTCATTATGATGTCTGTCAGCTGAAGCAAATATTGCATACTGTATTCTGTAATCCAATGGTAATTCATTGCTACATTGTCACATGTGAATTATTTTAAAAATCATATGAAATGTGTTAAATTTGCTTAATCGTTTTAATAAACACTCTTGAATGTCTTCAAGTTTCTTACCATACATCAATTATTCAGCTTCTGCTTCTGTTGAATAATGAAAGTGAGATGATTTTCTTAGCTAGCTCTTTTTTCTTAGATGCTCAATTAACATTCATAAACTTTCATCTAGAAACTCCAGATGGTGTTATTGAAAAATAGCTTTCCTTTGATCCAGCTGATATATCTGTTCAGTTATCAATTTAGCTTCTATGGCTTTCTTCATTTGTAATGGCTGATAGTGAATTTGGAAATAATACTAAGCTAAGTCTTTACAAAAGCATTTTGCTTACTACACAACTCTTCAACAATCAGATTAGCACCACCAATATTTCCATTTGCAATATTGACACTAACATAATATCTACAAGCACAAAAAATGAGTAATATGAAGAAAATACAAAAAGGAATAGGTTAAGATTCAGATTGAGACAAAATTAAAATAGAGTCACTGAAATCAAAAGGATTTAGATTAGCTATGCATAACACTGATTTTGAATATGGATCGATCCCATATTTTGAAGCTAATAAAATTCTGCAAGGTAATACAATGCAAGGTAATACAAAGCTAATTCTAGTTTCAGCTAAGAAAATGTTTTAAATGTGATGACTTAAAGTAAGCTCTCCCCTGCTGGAAAGAAGCATTCAGAATTATTAACATAGGTTATCTTTGTATATTATTCCTGAACTTGTAATCAGATTAAAAACTAATTTTAGTAATGTATTAAAATGGAATATATGAAATAACAGTATAAAATGTGCCTATTTGTCTCAATCTACTACAATCTAGCCAGCAAATATTTGTGTATGATATGTTCATTGTTTCAGATCTCTATCTATTCTGTGCATAAATGTAAGACTGACCTACAGAAAATAAACAAGGTATTCAAAACCTAATGTAAAATCTAAACATCAGAGTGCGGCTTTTTTCATTGCTATTGATTATTTCCCTTTGTGGGATCTCAATAATTTCTATGCCTTAACCTGTCATAGCAAATGGATTTGGAATGGGGCATGCTCTTTGCCCTAAGGAAGCCGTGCTTAATGTTTTCTTCAAATAGACTTATCTGGACAGCTAACAGCCAGTGTTATCTGGCTGCTTTGCTAAAAAAAACCATCCATTGCTTCTGTGTACATTTCAACAAGTTGCTTAATACAACAAATATGTTGCTTTGTGTTTCAAGGCTTGTCTAGTTTCCTGCCAGCTGGTCTGCTATTGTAATTGGTCAAAATACTTGAAGGGATTAAAACTCACATGCTATTTGTCATTTCCTTGACTAATTTGCTCATTACTCCTGTCCAAAGTGTACTATTTTTTATCCATGTTTTATTATTTCCATGGTCTTATCTAAAAGAAAAATCTCCAGAAAGAAAAAAAATAGTATAGATGTTTTAAAGTGACTGTAAATAAAATGTTACATCTTCTACAGTGAGAAGAATTCTATTGTCTCTGTTCTTACTTTCTATCAAATTATGGAGTCCTGATTTTCAGTGTGGAGGGCACCTTAACCAAAATGATCAGCCAAATTCCCTGACTTTGTTGCTCTTCCTCCTTCTGGATGTCATTATTTGATGGGAAACCATCTGTCCATCAAGATGGTGATAT